CAAACAAAAGAGCAGAAAGACAAGAAAAAAAAATATACAAGAGCAGCAGTATTTAAAAATATGAAAAATCTAATATAAGATGATAAGAAACCAAATTGATCTTCATAGATAAAGTGCAAAGTTAAAACAAATATAAATAGCAGTATTAACAAGATGAGTAGTCACTAGCCTATAACCGAAAAGAACAAATCCTTATTAAGTTAAGGATTCAAAAGGAGGCCAAAGACTACTGAGACAAATAACATCTAAGCAAAAGCTGAGGGTAAGTCTCTAGTTTGGTTAAATTAGCAATAGCTACAAATAAAAATATATAATTCTTGAATAGCTTAATCTCAAATAAACAGAGGCAGAATTGCGAATTATAAAAAAAAAAAAAATTACTATATATTTAAAGATGCTATTTGACCAATTTGATCAATACAAATTTTTTGACCAGACTAATCAAATAGTCAAATTGATCTGGTCAATTAGTTAGACTGGTCTGGTCAGCCCAACACTAGACTATTACATATTGTTACCAATCAGAATGAGATCAGGTGTAACATGATATAATTTTTGCATTCTGATTGGTTAATTTTTAAGATCTACAAAAAAATCCACGTTTATTTTGAAAATGATCAAAAATTTTGGAAAATTTGGATAAATTTTTTAAAAAATTTGATGGTCCCTGCTACAGGTGCAGGGAAACTTTTGTCAGGCACTGTATATTAACTTTACTATAATTTCTCAATAATATGAAATCTTCACTAGGAAAATGGCCCTCTGAGGCAATATTGATTTTGTGAATAGAAATTAAATATGCCAACCATCTAGTCATCCAATTCGAATGATCTTTTTTTTATTTTGTAGAGCTCATTTAGCTTCACAAAATAAAAAAAAGTCCATTCAAATTGGATAACCAGATGGTTGGCAAATTTAATTTTTATCAACATAGTCTCGGAGGGTCATTTTCCTAGCAGAGATCCCATATCACTATCAAAGAGTGATCCAAATGGGTTGATATTAGCGAGGGTCGAGTGTATATGAGTGCCGTCAAAAGAAAACCTGGAATCGGGCTTTCAACTATATTTTGCTATCTATATATATGTATATCACATATCGTCGTGTTCAATTACATATTGATCTACACATTGCATAAATAGTCGATATTCTTATAAACCATTAATCATAAATGCATCAAAAAAGAAACCCTTAACCGGACACGGTTTAGTTATTAAGAACATGAACTTGCGATTTTAAAGGCCTCATGCTAAATTTTTTAAAAAAACCTGTAAATGTTAGAATATTTCGTCGTGTTTCAACAATGGCACTTCCCAAAATTCTATTAACGCGAACGTTACCACCGGAGTCACAGCAACTTATTGAAAATGCACGGGATATCGAGCTTCTTCATTGGAAGGGTGGTATTATACCTCGAGACCAGTTGTTGAAATTAGTACCAGGTTACTTCCTACTAAGTTTGAAACGATAATTTAAAACAATAATTATAATTCTCCTCCATTATTCCTCAAGGTGTTAGTGGAATTCTTTGTATGTTGACTGAAAAAATTGATTCAGAGCTACTAGATGTAGCCGGTCCAAATTTGAAAGTTGTATCGACATTTTCAGGTTAAATTTTTAGATATTTAATTTGATGTACATTAATAGCATTGATGGTGTTTCGTATCTAACATTACATCGTAAACAGTGGGATATGACCATGTCGATTTAAGTGAACTCCGTAAGCGCAAAATACATTTGGGATATACTCCCGATGTGCTTACAGATGCAACTGCAGGTATAAAGTTTTTAACAGGAAATAAAATATTATTTTATGAATAGAATTAAATATTCATCTTGTTAGCTTATACAAAATAATATAAGATATTACTACGTTATTGGTACTGGCCGCGTCACGTAGAATGCGCGAGGTAATTGTTATTTGGTCTATTTAATTTATCACTACTGCCATAAATGTAACATAAGCTTTCTGATATAATACTAAGGCAATTCGTGCAATAGAAGATGGTGAATGGAAATTGTGGAGTCCAGTCTGGATGTTGGGTATTCTGTCATCTACTTTACAATTTAATGTTTTAAAGGCCTATATTTTCTTGAACTGAAATAAATTTACAGGTACTCAATTAACTGGTAAGACCGTTGGAATTGTTGGCCTTGGTCGAATCGGTGCAGCTACTGCGCATCGTCTTAAACCTTTTTTGGGTGCAAATGGAAAAATAATCTACTCTGGAAATTCTGATAAGCCGATGGCCATAGAGCTCGGTGCAACTAGAGTTAAATTTGACTCGTTAATTAGAGAGGCGGATATTATTTGTATATGTTGTGCTTTGAATGAACAAACAAGGGAGATATTCAATTATGGTGTCTTCAAAGTAATGAAAAAAAATGTGGTATGTAAACACTAATTGAAGACGTGAAGGTGTGCCAGAAATTACGAATTTAATGATCAACATGTTTCCTCATAAGAATGCATGTCATAATTTTGATCTAATCTTCCACTCTTGGAAATTATGTATTTCTGGCATTTTATGTATTCTCTATATATTAGATTTTTCATATTTTTAAATACTGCTGCTCTTGTATATTTTTTTTTCTTGTCTTTCTGCTCTTTTGTTTG